CCGGATTGTGCCCATGGAGCGACATAGCTATCAAACTGTTGCGAAGGCTGTCGACAGATATGGTTGTTTTGACCCGAGACAGTGGGAGGAGGTTGAGAGGATGTAGGTGGTGGAGTAGACGGTGTAGACAGTGTCATACTCAATAGGTCAATCATGTCTTGTTCCCTTGTGGTGTTCACTGGAGGAGGCGGGTCAGGCAGAGCAAGAGCAAGAGCATTGCTTCCAGCAATATGAGACTCTGAACTGGTGGGGTCTGTAGCCACAGATGCTGGTGGTTTGGAATGCCTGAAACAACACAGCGTTATATGTCAAAACCAAATTCATGATATGCACTGTTCCTGAATCCGATTGTAAAACAGACCTTCGAGCTAATTGCGCAAACTCATCTTCCTCCTCTTCGTACTCCTCATCAATTGGGCTTTTTCCCGTAGAAACAGTTGTGGGAATTGGGGAACTAGAACTAGCTATGGAACTAGAATCTTTAGCTTCAGACGATTTGGGGCTCGAATCAGCAGGTTTAGGAGAAGCCTGGGCTGGCAGAGAAGAACCAGAAGCTATTGCATCATGTTTAGCCAGTAGAGTTTGAAGACTATCATTTAAATCGAGTCCTCGGCCTAAAAGTTCATCATCCCTGGCACACAAATAAAAGACTATTTAGCACAGCAATGGAACCTCTCAAGTCAACAATATCATAACACATTCTAACATATTTAAATACAAAGTGATTCCTGAAAATAGAGGACCAACCCAGTCGAGGTTAGCATCTGCATCAGCTTCTTCTGATTGGAACGACAACGCTCAACCAAGTCAACAATGACTTCATCTTTCACAGCCTATATAACAGGAAACCATGGTTAGAGCAATCGATTTCGTTCCGAAAACAACAATATAGTTGTATATCAGACTCCTTACCGCACGATCACTGGGATCTACAGCTTGTAGCATGTCGCTCAAGAGATCCATCACGTCCCTCATGGACTCAAGACTTGACAAGCTACAATTTAACCAAGAAAAGAATACTGAAATTGTTGAAAATTTGTCCAAAATCTATAACTGCTAGTCCACATCAACAGCATATTGAACTAACAAACCCACTTACCTTAAGCCCTCAACCTCAGTTGCCATTGCTTCATCAAGCCTTCTCGACGAACCGCTGGGCATTCCATAACCTACTTGAGGTATGCCATAACCCGCTTGAGGTACTCCATAACCCGCTTGAGGCACTCCATAACCCGCTTGATGCACTCCGTAACCCGCTGGAGGCATTCCATAACCAGCTTGCGGTATTCCATAACCCGCTTGAGGAATTCCATAACCAGCTTGGGGTATTCCATAACCCCCCTGAGGCTGTCTTAACGCTGGATGACTCGCTGGTGGTGTTATTATAGGGGACGCATCAGGTGAACGCCGGGGGAACTCAACTCCAGAACGCTGCAACATGCAACAACCTTGATAATATGAATATCATGCAAATCAGCATCTGCGAAAAGTGCAAAGCAAATGGCATATATGTATAGATTTGTAGTAGATAAAAACACGGAGTAACATGAGTTATGTAGAACATGATCCCACAACTATAAAACTAAACTCTTATAGCACAGGGCAAAAACCTAGAAGAGACGTAGGAACCAATACTAGACTTGTTACCAATTTACAGTACTTTTAATTTAGAACAAGAGATGACCGAAAAGTAATTTATCACAAGCAAGTCTACGAAAACTGACCAAAAAATTATTCAAGTATAACAATTACAGTTCATGCTAGTTACTCACCCTTAACTCATCGTATGCCCAATAATACTGCGGGTATTTTCCCTCTGGACCTCCAAAAGCCTGCTGCCAAGAGTCGAGCATGACCAATATTTTATCCCTTACTTGCATATCTGCCTATAAAGTCCGATGGTTCATCAGCAATACGAAGGAAGAATCACCACAATGAAAACACGTACACAGAACCGTTAACAAGAACTTACCTTCTTTTTCACAATTTTGACCATTTCCCCCAATAAGTTTTTCTCAGCAACTTGATGGTGCAGATAATCTCCACAGTTCTTTACCAACGTCTCCAAAAGCTAGCACAAAACAAGCAGTAGAGAGAGTCAACGCAACGAGAGTCGAAAATAAGCGAAATGAAGAATTGGCCAAAAAGAAAAAAAGCTCCCAAATTTCACTACAACAAACATCATACCGTCAAAGCAAGCTGTTGAACTCTCGGACTCTTATGCTGCAGTCTCTTTTTCACAGCTTTCACAACATCTTTCGCCTGCCTGAGCAAATCAATACGCACATAAACAATTACTTCACAGACCGAACATGTTCATACTCCAATCACAAATCAATCAAAATTGTTCGATATAAACCAAACCACAAACCAAAATCCCAAATTTGCATGTGATTGCAAGTTTTCTATAGACACCCTCTTAGTAAATCCTAGGCGATGTATGTATAAGAACCTCAACAAATTCGAAAATAATCGAACTAAGTCAACAATTCCAAGGGGAAACTAGAACCTAAACCAGAATTCCAAACACCAAAATCAAAACGCGGCTGATTCCAAAATTTACCAGTGAAGAGAATTGACAGAATCGCAGATTTCCATGTTCGTAGTCCAATCAGGACCTAAGAGAAGATCGCTGGTTGCTTTATCGACCGCAACCGTCGCCGAAGCTGAAGACGACGCCATATCTTCGCCGGAAAAAGCTCAATAACACGATCGGAAAAATCGAAAAACGAATAATGACTCTCCGGGTCGAGAAAATCAACAAGAATAAGAAAACCCTAGAAAAAAGCT